AAGTGTGCCACAAACCCTCATGTGCTTACAAGGTAGTTCTACAACATCAAGGGAGGGTTCACCCCTCCTTGTAGTGAAATACAGTTCAATTACAATCTTAGAGGTCAGCCAACCTCCCACTCTGACACCACAATGACTGATGGGTTCTTATTGCCTATAACTAGCCAATTGGAATGTTTTATCATTAAGGTCCCATCTGGACTATATATTTAAGGCAGTATTATGCCAGTTTAAACAGTTATGGTGTCCATCAAATAATCCTGGGTGCTACAGTTGTTTGGAGACCATTATTTCCCCCAGAGAGCCACAGTTCCTAGAGTGGTTTAGCTGTCAACCCCTCTTTCCAGGGAACTCTTGAGAATTGCAGCTCTGTGGAGAGAATAGGAGTCTCAACACCATTAACAAACTACATTCTCCAGGATTCTTCAGGGGAATCTGTAACTGTTTAAAGTGGTATGATACCGCTTTAAATGTATAGTGCGGAAAGAGCCTGCTGGTAAGTTACGATCCTGTTACGATCTCTCTTAAAAAGATGTTATTTTTGAGCAATACCAAATAAATGGTATGTGTCATTGTTAATTGCTTTACACTTCCAACATACATTGCTTGATCCCCATAAATGTTGTCAAGTCATGAAGCTATTGATCTTTAATAAGGACTTTATTAACATTTCCTATCTTAAACATCTCCTAGGGTGTAAGTACCCACACTGCAGTGTTTAATAAAGACTGTAGCATCAGTTCTCATCAGCATCCATGCAGCCAGGGAAACTCAAGCCAGAGAAGAGATTGCATGGATGCTGCAACACCAATGAGAATTTGTATTTGGGCTCAGACTAATTATGAAGGGAGTATACTTTTTGGTAATTTTTGGGCTCAGCTTCCAATTAGCCTGGAAGCTCCTTCCTGGTAAAATTTTGTACTTCAGACCCTCAAGTCCTGATCATTGACTGAATCACCAGTTGAATCTACACTTTAAAGAGAAAGGTGGGAATCTGCGCTTCTTAAAAGTATGAGCATATGTAACTCATGCTGTTATAGAATAGCACACTTTAGTTTTTAAGAGGTTTCCCCTTCACAGCAACCAGCCTAGGAGTGCAACCCCATAATGTTTTGTCCTTGGCAACAGATTCAGACCCTGGACCAGTTTGTACTACGTTTGCCAAAAAAACTTTTTGGGGGAGTTTAAAAGGAAGACTTGCATTAATTCAAGTCAATGATTTGGAAACATACAGGCCACAGTTTTTGCTTGCTTGTTCTTTGCTGGCCGCCAGATATATTTTTAAATTATGGCTGCCATGGTGGCTTGAAAGGCTTCTTAACTGAAGCTCATGCTGCCGCAGTTACTGTGTGCTGCATCCTGCAAGTTGAAAGGAAAATGGAAAGCGTTGCTAGGTAGCTGCTTGGCATGCTTAGGTTTGTCCTTGGAATGGGTCTAGCCACTTGAAATTCAATCTGGAAGTAACTCTGAATGAAGAGCTGAGCAGCCCAAATGTTTTATGGATGCTCAACAAGCTGAATCCAGACTCCAGACTGGATCTCTGTTGGGTCCTTGGCAAGAGGTGCTAGGCTTAAGGCTGAAAACTCTGTAGCATATCAGAGACAACTGGTGGTTCCAGGATCAAAACAAAAAACTCACTGGCCTCCTAGACAGTTAGATATTATATGAATACCCCTAACAATTCTCCAGCAAGTTAAGGTTTTGACAGGTTTTTCACTGGCTACTGCTCTTTTGCCTTGAATTGAATTTTTTAATTGCAGGCATTCACAGGTGACGATGCTTATATCCTTGCTGTGTGGAAGGCACTGTCTTCTAGTCAAAGGAGAAAGCCAGGCCACTTCTTTAGTTGGTAACCATAGTCAGCGGCAGAGCAAGCTGTTTGGGTGTCTGGGGTTGCACATGTGCCCTGCACCCGGGGGCGGGGCCAGCCACCCATGGGGCGGGGCCAACCAGGGTAGGACACTCCGTGGGGCCACCCAGGAGTTTGCCTGCCTCCTCCCACTCAGCCGCCCTACAGCTGAGGGGGATGCAGCGGGAGGACCGTTTGGGGAAGCACAGAGCCTGTGGGCACTCAAGCCACTGTGTTACTCCTAGGAGAGATGTGTGGCTCGGGCGCACTGCAGGCCCCGCGGTGAAGAAGAAGAAGAAGAAGAAGAAGAAGAAGAAGAAGAAGAGTTTGCATTTGATATCCCGCTTTATCACTACCCTAAGGAGTCTCAAAGCGGCTAACAATCGCCTTTCCCTTCCTCCCCCACAACAAACACTCTGTGAGGTGAGTGGGGCTGAGAGACTTCAGAGAAGTGTGACTAGCCCAAGGTCACCCAGCAGCTGCATGTGGGGGAGTGAACCCGGTTCACCAGATTACGAGTCCTCCACTCTTAACCACTACACCACGCTGGCCACACTGGTGAGTGCCACTCGGCATTTTCTCACACCTCCCCTCAGTGGTGACACCTGGGGCGGACTGCCCCCACCTCACCCCCTTCCTCCGCTCCTGATCATAGCAAAATAGGGACTATGTCCAAAGCAGAGCTCCATTGGGGCTGAGCCACTTCAGTTTCCTCTCCTCCTGCTGCATGCTGGAATCAAATCTGCTAAGGGTCCCTCAACCCCTTTGAGCTGATTTTGAGATATAGAGGAGCTGCCAGGGAGAGTTCCATTCTGCTAGTGCAAGTCTCTTATGCTAGTGGAATAGGAGCATTGGAGACTGGCCTAGGGATGTTTGTATCCCCTTCTTACACCCCTGCCTCAAAAACATACTTACTTGACAGTAATTTGCATTGAAATCAATTATCTCCACAATCCTATGCACACCTACTCAGAAGTAAGTCCCACTGTGTCTCTAAGCAACTTTAGTATTTGAGGGGTGCAGACAGACATCCTATATCAGAGGACAGGTAAAGGAATAATCTCAGCTGGAAGGTGATGTAGGAGGTTGTGCTTTTGGTACAACATTTTTATTCTACTTCACATTATATCCTGGAAATCTAGGGCTGGCCCAACAGAAAGCAATTTAGGTAAAGCTTAAACTGTGACAGGAAAGACTGACATTTGCTTATAATTTCCGTGGACAGTTCATATTTTGAAAACTCTCTCCATAATAAGGAGAAAGCAGACCATGGGTGGTGTTTGCTCACATGTTCAATGAGCAAACTGAATTGTGTGTCCAAAGTAAACATTCTTTGATCAGAGCTGCTTTCATTTGCAGGAACACATTTTTAAGGGCAAAGGGACAGAGTTCTTCTTCAAAAGCAGCAGAAATTTGCTAAAATGTGAGTGTAGGATAGAATTAGGGGGGAAAGGGGATGGGGTGCTGAAATTTTATTTATACTGGTGTTATCTTGTCTGTTAACCACACTCTGGAAAGCTGTACAGTGGTACCTCGGGTTAAGAACTTAATTTGTTCTGGAGGTCTGTTCTTAACCTGAAGCTGTTCTTAACCTGAGGTACCACTTTAGCTAATGGGGCCTCCCGCTGCCACCGCACTGCTGCCATGTGATTTCTGTTCTCATCCTGAAGCAAAGTTCTTAACCTGAGGTACTATTTCTGGGTTAGTGGAGTCTGTAACCTGAAGTGTATGTAACCTGAAGCGTCTGTAACCCGAGGTACCACAGTAATTGCTTTATGATAGCCTTTTCCATCCTGGTGTCCTCCAGATGTTTCAGGTTACAATACTGGTTGGGGATGCTGAGAATTATATCCAAAACTTCTGAAGGGCACCAGATTGCAGAAGGCATATTATGGGATAACAAGGAATTTGTGGCTAGATCTCAAGCTCTGTAGTTAATCACTAGAATAAAATGTCGGCAGGGTCCCAAGGATGATATTTTTCACCCTGAGATGTTGTACTCTGCCATAGTGAGTGGCTGACTGAACTCTTCATAAGCTGGCAGGCTAAAAAGTGTCAGCTCTAAGTGTGAGAGTCTTCCAGATCTCAGTCCCAGAACTTGTTCTCAATGTCTTGTATCATACAAAATCATCCTAAGGGAGAGTTCATCTGAGCATGCTCAGAGGCCATTTCTCGTGAGCCCTATGCGTAGAAAGGCTTTCAGGTGTGATGATGTGCTTAATAGGTAGAGATGGGTGAATGTGTCAGTTTTGGCTTCCCTCAGTTTCTCATTTGCCCGTTCTTCAGTTCTCTACATTTTGGCATTAATTTGTGATATATTAAAAATGTCCTCGTAAAAATTGGTCAGCATTTTAAAGTGAACTTCTACTAATAGACACCCATGTATGCAATTTTGCCTAAGACAAACAGGTTTGCAAAGCAATTTCCCTAATATATTGCTTTTTTGTATGTCACTTTTTATGAATACGGTATATGCATTCATATGCGCACTTTACTGTAGCAGATGGATTTTTCATACATGTTACTTGGCTTGAGAACTGCATTGCAAAATTCACGTAAGGGCAAATGTCAAAGAATGCTTGTATTTCAGTTTGCATATTACTTGGGAAAGTGTGAATTAGGTAGGTTCACCTTTCAAAGCCAACCGCATCAAATTTCTCCTCTATCCCTACTTAGAGGGAAATCTTGAGCTCTCAACAGCAAGTTATTTATTCAATTTACAAATTAAACGATTTAATCTATTTAATTTACAAATAATTTGACTGCATTAATTGCTGCTCACAAGTTCCTCTTAGCAATAAATAAGGAGCAGATTTGGTGTGTTTTTTTAAGCCTGGGTTGTTCCCTTAGGAAGCAACCACTAATTTTGTTTCCTTGTACAGTGAGGCATTCTCTCTCCTTGCTACATACAGACAACAAAGCCCTCCTCCAAGCTCAACTGAAGGCTCTGGTTGCTTTGGAAGATTGAGGCGAAGGCCAGGCAACAGCGGGTTATGCTCTTGTGACTCTCCCCCCTCCCCCCCACCACTTGCCATGAGTGGAGAGCTTCTGGGCAAAGACAAGCCCTGAGAACTTCCATCCAATAACAAGATGAGGAGGCTTTTCCTGGATACAGTGCATTGTAGCAACCTGAAAAGGTGTGTTTGTGTATTGCAGAGAGAACAAACACACGAGGTGAGTGCATTGCTGCTCTTTTTGTCCCCGCTTCCCTGCTCAGTTGATCTTGAGAGGTTTTCTAAATTATGCTTGATCTTTCCTTTCAAGGTGTAATATTATATGCAAGGCAGAGCTGTCAGTGTGGGGAGTACTTGCTTCAGAACTGCAATCTCTCTCTCTCCCTCTTTGTCGGAGTTCTTTCAAACGGATTCATCAGACTTGTATGTGGGAAGAAGGGGGCAAGGGAGTCCTTTGTTTTGTTTCAGGAAAAGTGCCTGGGAGCAGCAAGACTGACATGTTCCTCAGCCATTTCTCTGTCTCTCACTTCAGGCAATAGCAACCCCAGGCATATCTGTAACTTCAACTGCTTAAACTAGTTTAAAGGAGCAGAGCCCCCCCCCTCTCTCTCTCTCTCTCAGCTTTCTCCCCTCCCTCCCCTTGCAAATCTTCTTTCCTGGAATAATTTAAAAACAACAACTCTTCAGCCATTTCCCCAACAGCATTGCCAGAGGTGAGAAGCAGCTCTTGTTCCACTGTAGTGGGAAGAAAGAACGTGCGCCCCTCCTGCCCCATTTAGTTTCTGCAGGTGTTGCTTCTGCATAAGGAGGGGAACTAGGCAGTGGAACTATTTCAATGGGTCCAGGACAGCAAGAAAGTGTGGGGCACTAAATTGGGGGTGGCAAATTTGTAACATCCTGCTCCAGTGGCTAGCAACCACTGCCATCACTACCAGTGTTTGAAGAGAGGCGCATTCGCTGAATATGTGGATGCAAGGCCATCTAAGGCCTTGTTTTTGGATATTAACAGCAGCTGGGTATCAGGGTACACAGTACCACTTCCAGGGTATGACCTGCTGCAGGTAGTGGGGGTATCTGCAAAGTATTGACTCAGAGTATTTCTCTTTCGGGTTACCCCTTCAGGGAGCCGCAGGGCAAGACCACTCCCTAAAACTTTTGTTTCTTTTTGCCACAAACTCAGCAAATCTGTGTCTTGAGTTAATTCAAATTGTGAATTAACATGGTGACCTCAAAGTCAGAAGCACTTTTGCTATAGTTTTGTCAGGGAACTGACATCGGAGCTAGAGGTGGAGGGGAGGCTCTCCAATGATGCTGGAGAAGGGCCCAGCAGGGAGAGAGGCAGCTCAGCAGATGGGGAAGCAATTCAGTGCAACACCAGGAATAAGGAGGGGCAGATGGGGGATCGGCGAGAGGGCTCCCAGACTCTTCACCGGACACCAGCGGGGAGAGCACTGGTCCTCCGCTACCCACGCCCTCCCTGCGCAGAAGACTTCCACGCAGAGAAAGTAGGAGGAGACTGGGTGTCAAACAACTTTTATGTTGGAAAAGGTTTAAGAAACGCCCACTGACGGATTCTGCTAGTGACTGAGGCAGCCACGAATTGAAGGGCTGTCCAGACAGAAAGGTTTAACAAGGCAACATAGCCAGGAGAGGCGGCAACTTACGCACGAGCAACCCCATACCATTATAGTTTGTTACTAGTTTGGCTGGGGAAACACAGGTCCCTACCTATACCCGAGCTCTGAGGCATCATTGAGTATGGGGTAGATGTTTCTCATCCCATTCTATTCACATGTATTTGTCTCAAAACAACAACAACATGTAAACTTGCTGGCTTGGAGACAGTGATTGGATTTTTTCAAATGAGTATGCACACCTCAGGCAAGGATGCTTCTCTCAATTTCCATATCTATCTTCTGTAACTCCAGGCTCAAAATCTGTTACTGGCACATTTATTTATTTATGGGGGTGGGATGGGGGAGGGTGGCGCTTTCCAAATGAGTGTGATGGGAGATAACTTCTGAAATGTTAAAGATCCTTAAAGAGTTTCTTTAAAAAAAACGCTCATGGATAACTATTGCCTTTGCATGGAGCTTGTTCCAGTTTACCTATTTAGTAAATGATACTTTCTTCCTAGCATTAGAAAATAAGTAAGTAAGTAAGTAAGTAAGACTTGAAATAGAACCCTACTGGATCAGAACAAAGGACCATTTTGTGCAGCATCCTTACCCTATCCTCATAGTGGCCAGTCATAGGCCTATGGGGAAGTCCACCAGAACAATTCTGAGAAATTCTGGAAACTCCTGTACTGGAGATGGAATACAGCAGGGTTTCCCAAATGTGAGTTTCCAGCTGGTTTTGGACTACAACTCCCATCATCCCTAACTAGCAGAACCAGTGGTCAAGGATGATAGGAACTGTAGTCCAAAAACAGCTGGAGACCCGAGTTTAGGAAACCCTGTATACAGTCATCAGGGCTACTAGCAAACTGTAGCTTCAGATGCCCTATGTTTAATGCACATAATACGAATAGGTCATGAAAAGATATATATCCAGTCCCATAATATGCAAGGCCCCAAAAGTCAATTTTTTTCCTGGCAAGCAGTAGAGTCCTACAGCCAAATTATTCTGTGACTTGCCCTGAGACCCCTGGGTATAGGGCGGTATATAAATTCAATAAATAAATAAAATAAAAATAAATATACAAAATCTTATATATTTTCTCGGAAGGAAATTCCACTGATTTCACTGCAGCTTACTTCTAACCACATCTGTTTAGGATTCCAAACTTAGTTTCCCCAAAGCTGGGAAGACTTGACTATGAAGAAGCCCGTTCAAAATTAACAGTTAACAATGCAGGAAAGAGAGGAGGGTGTTTGTATAGAACCTAGCCTAGTGTACTTACTGTAGGTAAAATATACATTCCTCACTCTGCCCACACCCACCACAGGCCTTTTGTCCCTGAAAGGTTGGCCAGAAGGAAATGAAGCTATCACACTGAAAAAGTGTCCCTACTCTGCTCTAGAATAAAGTGAGGATTTCTAGTTCTCTGGTGTAGCAGAATCGAGTTCTCCTTACACTGCACTGCTTCAGGTTGTAGGATTTGTTTGGACTATGGGAATCTATGCCGGTCACTTCCAAAAGAACGATGGTCAGATCCTTACGGCAATTACAGACCCATCTCAAGCCAACTGGATTGCGATCCATGCCGAGACCTGCAAAAGTAAGAGAATCGCTTTTAAAAAAAAAAAGAAAAGAAGAAGCATCAGCCACTGCTGTGACTCACACCTTAATCTTCTCTCTTGGCCTCTGAAGGATAAAGTGCTATTTCTGTCCACACCAATAATTGCTGAACACATTCCTGTAATCCTTTTTACAGTATAGTATTTGCATGCTTAAAAAATGTATCCCTTCATAGTGACTTCATACAGCGCCTTTTACCCGTTACGTAGCCAAAATAAGTTTAATTAATGGCATATTTATGGTGATATTATTAGCGGCATAGTTTCTCCATGTAATAGACTGTGCTGGTTTGAGCCATTTGCTCTCCCCTTTAAAATCTGTTAGTTCTGTGAAAGGAATGGATAGAGGTCCAAGTAGAAAATCCTCAGCACTTTGTCAAACTTAAGTTCCTAGGATTCCTTGAGGAAATGTTGTTGTTGTTTAGTCATTTAGTCGTGTCTGACTCTTCGTGACCCCATGGACCAGAGCACACCAGGCACTCCTGTCTTCCACTGCCTCCCGCAGTTTGTTCAAACTCATGCTGGTAGCTTCGAGAACACTATCCAGCCATCTCGTCCTCTGTCGTCCCCTTCTCCTTGTGCCCTCAATCTTTCCCAACATCAGGGTCTTTTCCAGGGAGTCTTCTCTTCTCATGAGGTGGCCAAAGTATTGGAACCTCAGCTTCAGGATCTGTCCTTCCAGTGAGCACTCAGGGTTGATTTCCTTAAGAATGGATGCATTTGATCTTCTTGCAGTCCATGGGACTCTCAAGAGTCTCCTCCAGCACCATAATTCAAAAGCATCAATTCTTCAGCGTTCAGCCTTCTTTATGGTTCAGCTCTCACTTCCATACATCACTACTGGGAAAACCATACCTTTAACTATACGGACCTTTGTTGGCAAGGTGAGGAAATAATTTCCTTGAGGAAATAATGCTGGTCAAAGGGGGAATGAACCCAGCATAGGTTTGTAATGGAAATGGGACCTTGGCTTTGGCTGGATGTTTACTCAAGGCAACTGTCCATTTCATCAGACCTTACACACCAATTAGACTATGTATAAGGCACCTTCCTATGTTTTTGCACTTTTCACAAGGGAACAATTTGAAACAGTTGCCCAGTCAGTCATGACTTATCTTTGCTGCCATGGCATGAGGGCAGAGGGCATTCTTGGTAGTGGTGCCCACTCTGTGGAACGCCCTTCCATCAGATGTCAAAGAAATAAACAATTATCTGATGTTTAGAAGACATCTGAAGGCAGCCCTGTTTAGGGAAGTTTTTAATGACTGATGTTTTAATGTATTTTTAATCTTTTGTTGGAAGCCGCCCAGAGTGGCTGGGGAAACCCAGCCAGATGGGCGGGGTATGTATGTATGTATGTATAAATATTATCTAGACCTAGTCACCATATTCCCCACCCCCCAGATAATATGTCTTCATTCTAGTGCCACTGGTTTGTGGTAGAAACTGATGCTGGCATGGAGATACGTGGAAGAATGACATGCCGCCCAGATTCCATGTGTGATATCATTATAGTAAGGCTAGCACATGCTGTGTTAAGTCTGTTGTGAACACAAAAAATCCAAAAAAGCAAAAGCAAAATCTTAATGATTTACTAAGAAAAAACAATGATTTTGAACTTTTGTTCACGTGACTGCAGCTGCCACATTAATTACACACCCAAATATAATATAAAAGAGCAGATTTCGTAATGTCCCGTGGAGAGAAGCAATTTATTTTTACATCCAGTAATAGGGTGTACGCACACCCTACACGTAAAGTAGAGCACTCTGCCTTGGGATAGGGTGCAGTTGCCATTGCCTGAAGCCTACAAAGTGATTTTGAACATGGTTCCAAAAAGAGCTGATGTTGCAGGACGTTTGTCATCAGAATGAAGCAATTGTTATGCAAGATTGTGTGGTCAAGATTATGGAATGAGGCAGTGTAAGCTGTTTGCAGTGGACATCCATTTAAGGCATCCAGCCCACTTTGCATTGTACACGTTTTTCCTGTTAGCCATGTGGATTGGAGAATGTGCAAGTCCATAGAGCCTTCAAACAGTGGTGATGCTGAAAAACCGCAATGCACACGGTTTAATGCACGTGCTTTAATATTGCATTAGATCAGTTGGTTGTGCCAGGGCTGAACCTTGTCTTTACCATCTGTCCACAGTGCTAGGGGCAGATGAAGGAATAATAGATGAAAGCAACCCTGCACAGGTTTGGGATGGGCTTCCTTTCTCATGGAGTAAGCACAGAGAGCCCCCACCCCATGCCTGTTGCCAAACATACTGGGGATTTGCATACAGGCTTCCAGCTCAGAGTGCTATTTCCAGATCCAGCATCTCTTGTTCTGGAAATTAAGCACTTATTAGGACCCACTCCTTCCAACTCATCAACATATCCATTTCCTCTGCATCCAATAAACAGTGAGGCAACAATGGACAAGTATGTGCTAAATCCTCAACAGCTCTCTTGTGATGTGCTAAGTTACTGCACACATGGGAAGACCAGAGGGGGGGTGGTCTGGAAAGTGTAATAACGTGTGAGAAACATTGCACAGCCACACAGAGAATTTATACACTTAGGTACTGTATTTGCTGATTCCTCCCTTGCTGGTCAGCTTAAAGTATCTGAGACATTTTCTGATTACAAAAGGTGCAACTTTTGATGGGAAGATGGGACAGCGAGGGAAGTGGCAATGTGGCAACATAGTCATTATGAAATGACATTTCCATATGGTTGTGCCATCACACACTTGGTTTATTACATCTGATGCCATCTATCTTTGTTTTATTCATTTATACCATACTTTTCAAGAGCAAATCTTTCCAACCCATAAATAGGTATTTGTTTTAGCTTCTGATACATTTTTTTTTAACTTTCCAGCTTCTTACAAAACAAATAATCCCTCCACCCTGAAGCAATGGCTAGTGGTGGCTTTGAGTCCAGCTGCAATCAATAGTTTTGCTGAAGCAGGAGGGCACTGAATGTACTCCTTTCCAGGCCTGACGTTTGCCCCATCAGCAAACCGATCACAATTATAAATTGTACAGAGGGAAAGAATTGCAAAACAAGACATTACACACTCTGTCTAGTGTCAGGCTTTGGTGAATCGGATCCCTCCCCTGGTGGCAGTAACTAAGCGGATTAAACGAAAGGAGTGTGATTACCAGATAAGTTCTTTAATAATCACAGCGAGAGACAAAGGCACATCTCTCTAAAAAATGGCGTCTCTCCCAATAAAGGTTTACCCCCTCCGTCCCCATTAATATATGTCACTCCTACATCGGGTAATCTGAGTTTATTGCTGTTGTGCTTTCTGTTCTATCCGTTTCCAATCCCATCTAGTCTTGGGCGAAGGGGGGGGTCAGGAATGCTGTCCCAGGACACTGAATCTAACCAGCTGTCTCTCTCTTGGCACTTCCTCTTCTAGCTGTTCCTCACCCAGTATTTCCGAGCTTTTCCCCTCTGGGCTGTGCCCTTCTGCAAACCACTATTCTAAATCAATACTGTCCTCCTGCCCTTGGGAAGCTTCAGAAAAGTGGGGTGGGGCTCCAACCATTCCTCCTCAGCCCAGTCCCTGACATCTAGTCATGAAGCAGTAACATTGCCTTTTGAAATTGTTCAGCTTTGCAACTAATTTTTAGATTAACACTTGGCTCCTCATCTTGAACTCTCCACAAAGATAAGAGGAGAATATTGGCCAGTTATTAACATACAATCCTATACCTGTCTACTCAGAGTAAACGCTACTAAGTTAAGTGCAATCCTATACAGGTCCACTCAAAAGTACTGGTAATTGTGCATAGGACTGAAGCCCAAGGCTCAAAGCACTCTCAGCCAAAAAGTTTGTTCTGGTGCCTTGGGCAAACCACTACAGTCTCTTTCAGGCATTGTGTTGTTGTTTAGTTGTTTAGTCATGTCCGACTCTTTGTGACCCCATGGACCAGAGCACACCAGGCGACCCTGGATTCCACTGCCTCCTGCAGTTTGGTCAAACTCATGTTAGTAGCTTCGAGAACACTGTCCAACCATCTCGTCCTCTGTCGTCCCCTTCTCCTTGTGCCCTCCATCTTTCCCAGCATCAGGGTCTTTCCCAGGGAGTCTTCTCTTCTCATGAGGTGGCCAAAGTATTGGAGCCTCAGCTTCAGGATCTGTCCTTCCAGTGAGCACCCAGGGCTGATTTCCTTCAGAATGGATAGGTTTGATCTTCTTGCAGTCCATGGGACTCTTAAGAGTCTCCTCCAGCACCATAATTCAAAAGCATCAATTATTTTGCGATCAGCCTTCTTTATGGTCCAGCTCTCACTTCCATACATCACTACTGGGAAAACCATAGCTTTAATTATATGGACCTTTGTCGGCATTCAGGCATTGTACTCATATGTCAAAACAACATGTAAGTATTGATGAGAATGCTAAGCTCTGTCTGCTGTTGCCACCACCCTCCCTAAGTTGGAGGATGAACTTCCAAAGTGGAGAGGTTATGGTACTTGTGGAAGGTCCCCTCACAATTGGAACCCTCTGCAAACACCACAAGCTCATAGAGGTGTAAAATTGAAAGGGACCTTGAGGTTCATTTAGTCCATCCCCATGCAACACAGAGATCTTTTGCCCAATGTGGGGGTTGATTGCACAACCCTGAGATTAAGAGTCTCATGTTCTACTGACTGAGGAAATTCTTCTTCCAGCTGACACAGGACAACAGGAATGATGCTTGGCATACTTGGCCCCACTCTCCCAACTCACATGTTGCATTTACACATGAGTAGAATGCCCAATGCAGTATTTATTTATTTAATTCCACCTTTTGTCCATAGACCTTCATAGTGGCTCATGACATAAGCTAAAATAATTCACACTGTATGCTCAGTAATAATTAAAAATGAACCTTTTAAAAAAAGTATCTTGTGAACCACTTTGAACTGCAGATCTTTATTGATGATTTATTAATCAATCTGAATTTATGACAATAGTAATGCTTGCAGTTGATACTGTTGCTTGATGTCTAGAAAAGCTCTATTTTTTCGGAAGTGAAAAAATTAGCAGTTTTATTGATGCTGAAATGCAACTAAAAATGCGTGAATTGACCTGAAAGCCAAAAACAAAACCCCAAAAGATGTCCCTTCTTTAGGACAAGGTGTAAACCAACCTGCTGCCTCCCAGATGTTGTTTGAATATAACTCCCACCATCTCTGACCATTGACCAAGTCTGCTGGTGCTGATGAGATTCGTAGCCCCAGACATATTGAGGTCTGGTGTAGACACACTTCTAATTCAATTTACTTGACTTTTTGTTACAAAAAACAAAGCAATCGTTCTTCAATCTGGAGAGAGGGGGTTGTTTAGCCTTGCTTAGATTCTTGTCTCTCGAGAAAGCCCTGCAAGCCGTCTTCTACCCAGGGTGAATATCACATCAGCATTTCTTGATGCAAATCTCAAGACAGAATTTAGTAATAAAATGAGCAATAAGACTCCTGTAGCTGAGAAAGGGAAGACAACATCTGTCTTTCAAGCACATTCTTGTTGCACCAGAATTCTCTCAAGCAAATAACAGGTAAAGCTTCAGCGACTCAGAACCTCCTTTGAAAACTAGTGCTGGAGTGAAAAAAAAAATCACTTCTGTTTTTGCAGCTGAGTTGGAATCTGCCTTGACAAAAATGCCAGCACCCACCAAGCACTCGTGGGAAAATGTGGCATGATCTCTTAGTGTAATCAAATGAAACTTTAACACACAGCATGATTTTATCAGGACAAGTTACTTGCTGGTTACTGTTGTAACAATTGTTTTCTCAAAATTTATCTTCTGTACCATCAAAATAAATAAAAACAGTATTTTTTTTAAAAAGCCTAATTTTCTTCTTTCTCAAACAATGCTATTTCAAAAACTTTGATGGTAGTGGCAGTCTGGGGGCATTTTGCTTTTCTCCTGGTTGTTCTTTGCAGTAGGGTGATAGTGGGAGCATCCAACTTGAATAAATAAAGGTCAAACTGGAGTTGACACTATGCGGTTAGCAATGGCATGAATGGCTTTTGAAAAGTAAATTGGAGTGGTGGCGGGCACTGTCTTGGCATGGGTGGTGCCTCAATCTTTTGCCCCCTCCCTTGTGGTCCCAATGGCATCCCGATCCAAGCTTGGCCTTGAGAAGGCTTGCTACAAAAGACTACAGTTGCAAGTAGATATACGTGTTCAGAAGAAGAGGAGTAAGCTGGAGCGACCACCCATATTTTGCCCATATCTGTGTGATTGTAAATGAGGGAATACATGGCCTAAAATCTGCTCTCGCTGGAGCTGGAGGAGCTTATCTCCAAAGGTGTCACTGGTATCCTTCCCTCCTGATAAAAATAGCAAGTGGGGTGGGGAATTTTCATTGACCATGGTGGGTGGGAAGGGGTTAAACTTGCCCTCCCCCACCCCTGTGTCCCCTGTGCTGACTGAGCTGCTATTTACATTCTTTAAAAATGTACACATTCACCACATCAAACATCTAGCCTGGCCTTAATCTAATATCATTTGATTCATTCAAGGGTTTCTTTTTAGTGCAGGAGTGGGAAACTCATATTGGCTTGAGGGCTACATTCCAACATGAGCAAACTTTCAGGGGCCATATGCTAGGGATAAGTGGCAAAAGTGAGTGGACCTCTCCATCTAAGCTAGGAAGATGCACTGTCACAGTTAAGCACTTAAGGGAGGAGTTGAGCAGAACCTGTGATGGGTGTGGCTTGGGAAAATTTCATGGCCTAAGGAGAGCCTCAAAGGTCAGAGAGACCCAGAGACTCCTCTCCCTGCTTTTAGTGCAAATATGGTAAGCTTAGGTTTTTGAGATTTGAGGACATCCACCTCCCTGGTCTAAACCACAGAGCCTAGGGCTTGCCGATCAGAAGGTCGGTGGTTCGAATCCCTGCAATGGGGTGAGCTCCCATTGCTCAGTCCCTGCTCCTGCCAACCTAGCAGTTCAAAAGCACGTTAAAGTGCAAGTAGATAAATAGGTACCGCTCCGGCAGGAAGGTAAACAGCTTTCCCATCTGCTGTTCTGGTTTGCCAGAAGCGGCTTAGTCATGCAGGCCACATGACCCAGAAGCTTTCTGTGGACAAATGTTGGCTCCCTCAGCCAATAAAGCGAGATGAGCGCCGCAACCCCAGAGTCGTCCGCAACTGGACTTAATGGTCAGGGGTCCCTTTACCTTTACCTCCCATACATAGTAGTAAATCTGGTTATTTTACATTCAACAGGGTGCTGCAGCCAATCACAGCTACCTGAGCTACCAGCATACCTGTATAACACATATTTGGCATATCCACACAATGTTACACCTAACATGTAATTAAAAATAAACAAATTTCTGGGATGCACTCTTAAAAACAGTCAATATTTTATTTGCCTTCTTTCTCTGAACAGTGCCAGTGCCAGAGGTTCAAAGATGCTGGAGTAGGTTCCTTATGTTTCAGCCAGACCAGAAGGGGAACGTGCCTCGAATGCGCCTCCTGCAACCCAACAGTCCTTTTGTCCAGAAGGTACAACCAGCAGCCGCTGGGTGAACTTTTCTGCTCTTTCTCTTAGATAAGTCCTGCCCAGCAATAAGGAAGGGGAGAAAGGAAAGACGTCCAGACAATCATTAGGAATCTCACACACTTGATAGAGATGTCACTGCAAAAGAGGTGCCCAGAAAACCTACGTCACGGCTATACATGCATCCTTTCAGGACAACATTGGCTTCAGTTGAATGCTCAGGTTTTTGGCTCCAGGCTTAACTGAGTAGCAACTGCAAATCTTTTTTTCTTGCATTCATTTTTCAGTTGTGGGTGTCCCTCTTCTAGAATGCTCTCCAAGGGGAGACATGCTTGGCAGCCTCCACGCCCTTTCAGTACCAGGCAAAAACCATCTTATTTCCCCTAACATTTCCCTTGTAATGATTTGTTCAACTGATGGTAGGTTATTTTTTTTATCCTACTGTTTCACTTGTTGTTTTGTTGTGGTTGTGGTTGTGGTTGTGGTTGTGGTTGTTGTTCTTCTTCTTCTTCTTCTTCTTCTTCTTCTTCTTCTTCTTCTTCTTCTTCTTCTGCATTGATTTGTCTTGAATGGTTTATATATATGTTTATTATTTTGTCAGCCTTCCTGAGAAAGTTTTGTATTTAAGGGCAGGGTATAATGGTAGAAAATGAAACGGAAAAGCTGTTTTTAAAAAAGGGGGGTGGAAAAAGAAAACATTGGCTGATATTCAATAAAGTTTTACTCAGAGTAGACTTATTGAAATGAATGGATCTAACTTAGTATTTTGCATGATTATAGTATTATTCAATAAAGTTTTACTCAGAGTAGACTTATTGAAATGAATGGATCTAACTTAGTATTTTGCATGATTATAGTATTATTATCTTGGAATGGCTCAAAATGTAAGCTAAGAGTTCATTTCTTCTTAGAGTGTTAAAGCCGCTAGTTGGTGCAATTGCAAGAGTCACTCATAGTGGTTGAGCTAATTGACAGCTAATTAAGAGCTCCTGGGGGGAGCCAAAGAAGTTTCCTTCAGCCTGAGTTTCTTGAGTATAAAAGAATGTCCAGTGTGTTCTAGTTGCAGTAATACATTCATTTATTTTTAGCAGAGCAGAGCAGATTAGGTTTCTGTCTGACTGCTAACCAGACGACTCTGTACGTTCTTATTTATAGCAATCTTACTGCTAGAGTTTTGTTCAGCCTACCCGCTTATAAAGTTTGCCAACTTCTTCACTTTCTGGATTCAGCCTATTTTATCCAAGCCACTTCTACGAACAATAAAAGCATCTTGAAGGTCCCAGGCCACAGAGAGGTTAGGCTGGCCTCAACTAGAGCCAGGGCTTTTTCGGCTGTGGCTCCGATCTGGTGGAACACTCTGTCACAAGAGACCAGGGCCCTGCGGGACTTGACATCTTTCCGCAGGGCCTGCAAGACAGAGCTGTTCCACCAGGCCTTTGGCCAGGGCACAGCCTGACTCCCTCCTTTGGCAATCTTCACAGAATCTCTAGCCCAATGGTTGCCATCAATTTGATTTGAATTAATTTTATAATGAATGATTTTAGAATGTTGTACTATTTTATTGCTGTTAGCCGCCCTGAGCCCGGCTTTGGCTGGGGAGGGCAGGATATAAATAAAATTTATTATTTATTATTATTATAATTACCCCTATCTTTTGTACTTGGATACTGCCCTTCCTTGGAAGGTTCTAGCAGAAATAGCCATTAGGTAAGGGTTATAGCTCAGTTGCACAGTAGGTCCCTAGTTGCATCTGAGCACAGTGGCGTAGCGTGGGTTGTCAGCACCCGGGGCAAGGCAAGTAATTTGCGCCCCCTAACCCGTGGATTTTAGCACTCGAGTCTCTTCCACTAGATTAGTTAAAGAAACCCTTACCCCCTAAGCACGTATTGTTTGTTATGAAAATACTGATGTAATTAAAGTAAAATGCATCTAAATACAATTTTATTTTCAAACATTTTATTGAGTGCGAACATGCATTACACATTCTCCACATTTTCAGCAGGTCTATGAATACAAATCTACAAATGTAGTAACCTAGCATGGGCCATGCTATTATATGTCGTCTCACAACCATCGTAAACAACAAAAAATATCAAGAAAAAAAACTAAACATAAAAATGGAACCATACCCTGAAGATGATCCAAGATTGGGCTAGATGGAGCCAACTTCCTCAATCCTGTACCTCTAATTGTAATTCTTTAATGGAAGTGCAAGATATCAATCTGTATATACAGATTAATTTAAATTTGCCTGCTTTTAATTAGCGCAAATTTTTCAACAACAGAATTGAAATCTGCATGTCGGAGATGTCAGCTCGAAGTCTCCCAGACAAATGAGTCATGCCCAAGCCATTTTAAGTCTCAGTTTCCTTTTTGTTGGTCCTTTGATTTGATTTGAGGGCATGTAGGCATCTCTTGCGTATCCCCAAATGCATGTCTAGGCTCTGAGACGATTAAGACTGAGAATCTCAGCAGCAGAGGTTTCAAGAGAAGCTGGCAGAAAGGACAAGCGGGGCAACTGGAGGTTGAGGCAAAACGAGACACTGAATCGGAGAAAAGAGTCCAAGTGCAGCAGCAGCAACAGCAGATGTTGGCTGCTCTCCCACGCGAGGACTTTGGACACTGACCTTTTGCAAAAACCCAAAGCTCACCCCGCCAACTCAGCCTACACCAGCTGGACGTGCGACTCGGGCGGGGAACCAGGAAACGAAGAAGGGCCCGATCCTGCTTTACTAGCTTCACGGAGGCCACCCTTCGGGAAACCTGTGGGCCTTCGGAGATCGAGGGGACCCCCACCCGCTCTGAACAGTGCTGCATCTCTGTCATAGCTGCTTTCCATAGACAGCATGGGCTGCGGTCCTAACCGCGTTTACTCAGAAGTAAATGCCACTGCGTTAAACAGGGCTTACTCCTGTGTAAGCGGGGATAGGATCGTTGCCTTAGCAAAGACTTTCCGCTCTGTTAAATGCGCATTACACACACATCTACAACCCTCTTTCCCGCCCCGAAGGACGCGGAGAAGCCCTTCGACGTCCCCACTCGCCCCAACGTCGCTAGCGCGGCGCAGAAAACGGAAAGGGAGATGTTGGAAAGCCTGCCGGCATGACATTACAGAAGGCAAAAAACCACATAACGCGCACCTTTATTAATAGGCACTGAGGGGAGAGGCAGCGAGAGTGAGTGAGCCAGGTAGGGGCAGAGAGCTGCGAGTGCGAGTGCGCCCCCCAGATGTTGCGCCCGGTGCGGCCAGCCCCCCTGCACCCCCCACGCTACGCCACTGTCTGAGTATTTTCCTGGGAACCCTGGAGATCTGCTGAGCTAGATGAGCCAAGGCAAGCTTCCCATATGTAAAATGTTGCAGTCTATGTTTTCCTACCTCTGGCACCAGCAGAACTGGCTTCAGCAGATACTGAAGCAAAGCCAGGACATGGACATTGTAATGATGTTAGAAGAATGAATAATCTCAACTAAACAGTTAGCAGTGTTGGGGGAGCTCATCATGGGTTTGTTTTTGTTTTTTTGCCCCCCTGCTCTTTGCAACTTTTGCTCTCACAGCAACCTATGTGGGGCTCCCAGTGGTCTCCTATCCAGGCACTGATTAGGTCCACAGCTGCTCAGCTTCAATGACGCCACAGCCCTGCAACATGCTTTACAATGTTCTCTGACCATTCACTCAGCTCCAATAAAGGTCTATTGGCTGCAGAGAAGCTGCAGTCTAGAAAAAAACAACCTAGTTTAAAGCAGTGTGTTTTAAACCCAAGGGGCATCACCGTGCTGGCTTCGCTCCCCAGTAGACAATAGCCTTAAGAAAGAAGAGGCGCTGGGTCATTTTAGCCAGGACAGGGAACATAATTTTATTAAGAGAGTTAAAAACCAAGCATGAATGTTTGTAGCCAGATGAAATAATAATCAGAGGCAGCGATTGCCAGTTGACCTACTCTGGATAGTTCCACTGCTATTAATAATTGACTATAAACAATAAAATCTCTCCCCTTATTAAAATGAGACAACTGCAGAATAGCCTATTATTGCATAACGTCTTAATTGTACTTAAGACATGAGAGCCTCAAAGGGAACATCATTTTATCAGCATCCCTTTAAAATATCTGGACTGGAATATTATGACACATACACACAAAATAATCTTTGTCCATTGTTAAAGGACTAGGAACTGCTTTTGAAATCTGACTTAGCTGATCCATTGCAAATGCGTTGTCTGATTATAAAAGCACATATTTAAATTACAATTCATTTAGAAACAGGCCAACAATTTTACCTTAACATCAGTGATTTGTTTGTAGAATCTACTGGTTTATCAGAGGTTTCCACCCAAGGTGAACATGATAAGAAATATTTTTATTTGTTTGTTAATTTTGCTATTAAAAAATAAAGAAGGGAAAAGGAAAAATGACAACAAAAACTTCAGCTCACATGAAATAACCACCAGCACACCCATCTTAAATTAAAACATATAAATTTATATAATCCATCCAGAAGTCCAAAGAGTAAGGGCAGTGAGGTCCTCAGACCACTATGTAATAGAGAGTATAAGTCTGGATCACAAACATTTTAAAATAATAAATAAATCTGATGTGAACTTTAAAGTGTGGAGCAGAGCCTCAGAACCATGAGAGGGTCTTGACTCATCTCAGTTTCATTTTTGGATGTGACCAGATAAATGGGGCGATTATCTTTAATATTTCAAGGTGGGTGCAGTTCACTTACTAGCTGTAAGTGAAGCAGGAGTTGCTGAATGAACAGGAAAATGTGGCATGATAATGTGGGGTCTCTAGCTCATGCACAGTAAGGCAAAAGTATGCGATTTAGGATCCAAGCAAACTTAAGAGCATTCCCCATGGCCATAGCTGCTGTTCCTTCTGTTCCCCACCCACTTCCATAAGTTGACATGGTGGGCATCTATGTCTCCTCAGGGGGAAAGATTTGACAGTTGCATATGCATAACCTACAGCAGCGATCTTCAACCACTTGATGTTGTTTGTTGGTGTTTTGAGAATGAGGTGAGCGGTGTATGCTATTCCCCTTAAAAATATAACCCTAACCCTCCCGAAAAAAAGCTCAACAACTCTGCTCCCCCCCCAAAAAAGCTCAACAACTCTGATTTCTCCCCAAAAGTTTAACAACTCTGCTCTCCCCAAGAAAAACTGAACAACTCTGGTCAATCCACCAGCCAGCGTGGTGTAGTGGTTAAGAGCGGTGGACTTGTAATCTGGTGAACCGGGTTTGCATCCCCGCTTCTCCACATGCAGCTGCTGGGTGACCTTGGGCTAGTCACACTTCTCTGTAGTCTCTCAGCCCCACTCACTTCACAGAGTGTTTGTTGTGGTGGAAGAAGGGAAAGGAGAATGTTAGCCGCTTTGAGACTCCTTCGTGTAGTGATAAAGCAGGATATCAAGTCCAAACTCTTCTTCTCTTCTTCTTTTTCTTCAATGACAATGGGTACATCACTGCCAGTTTTTTTATACTGGGAGTAGATCACATTCTCTTGGGAGCTGGACAGGCCTGACCTACAGCATTTATCATGGGAGGAGAGGGGCATTAATGAACTAGATAGTCAAATGGAATGAACAGTTCCAAGGAGGTATCCAGTGGAAGAACTCGGCTCATAAATCAAAATTAATATGCATAGATTTTGAAAACATACAGCAAAAAGATAAACCTACACAAGATGCGACATGCCTGCCACTTGTTTGCAGATTATAGTGTCTCCTAATGGGAAATATTTCTCATTAGTGCAGTTTCATTTACTGCACTGATATATTTCAGTGGAATATATTTACTGATATACTGATATATTTCAGTGGAAAGAAGGCACAAATTGCAAAACACCATTTTCTTGTTGAGGTACATTTTTTTTACCATTGTTAAACAGAATGCTTTGCCTATGGAACATTTACTCTTCACTGCTTTGCAGCTAATAAGGAAACGAGCTTGATATTCATGACAATAAATTGAAATCCTTATTCCCCTAGTGTGTCTTTAATAGTGTTTTGGAAACCTATCTGGTTTTTAATTAGAGTCTGAGGAATTTATAATTGCTTTGCTGTCTGTGAAGCCAAGAAGTTGTTTCTTTCTAGAGATACAGAAAAGCTCCAGGGCCAATCAGCCTACAGATCCACCCTGCGATTGAAAACAAAGATATCGGAAAAAACATAGTTGAACTTTTCCACAGGTTCATAATTCCATAAACCTGCCGCAAATCAAGGTCATGCAGAAGAGCAACAGCATTTCAATGTTGTTGGATCAATTGTATATTTATAAGATGTTCCAGCCTCAAGGGGTTTCAACAGGATTCCGTCTGCTGTGAAAGAACAAAGTCCAAAAATCGGTACACAGAGAGTTTGTTTACTAGGGAAAGGACCATTCTTATTTCTGTCATGCAGAAATTGTGAATTTCACTTTGTGATAGTGAACAGTTGCTTGCATTGCAACAGAGAATAAGCCAAGCCACACATGAACTACAATGACATGAGGCGAGACTTACCTCTTTACCTCCTTCAAATAGCATTAGATTAGAAAGGGTATATGTTATGATCCTGGCCTGCTTGTCATGGCTACTATAGAGCTCAACAGCCAGTTTGGGAGCCAGGAAATTGTGTGCATCCTACTTCTCGTTTGTGTTCTGTTGTCACCTGGACAACCTTAGGAAGATGTAAGCCTTCCAGACTTAACTAATGGCTCAACATTTTACCGTATTTCATTCAAACCAAATGTGTGTAATAGGGAGAATGGAATCCTTATCTTTGAATAAGCTTCCCTTGTTCGCTTTGCACTAGCTTCCCTTCTCGCCATCTCTACGGACTTATGGCTCCTGCCATAAGAGGTGGCCGGTCACCTTTTCCCAAAGGCTTTCGTTGTTTCAGGGCTGGATTCTTCATTCCAGGGGAATTCAGATTCAAGCTTCTACTTGGAATTCTGTGGTCACAGTCAGCCTATGGCTGACAAACCAGTAGACCTACAGCTTGCCTGGGTTCTTCAAGATGCAGATCCTTATATTACTCTACAGGTTGCTAAATTCCTAACAGCCGTTCTCTCGTACAAGAGACGGAATGGAATGTTAGCTGATTATTGATAGTTATAAGAATTTTTGATATTGACATCAGATATTGATTTTAGCGTAGTGCCTAAATTTTTAACTTTAATCTTAAATTTCTGTTTTGATTTGCCAATATTTGTCCTTGTGAGCTGTGAATTGTGTTATATTACTTGTGGCTTGTACGAGACCGCTGTTTTATTTGATTTGTTTTGTGTGTTGTGCTTTATGATGGGCGTAAAGCCGAATAAACATTTTGATTTGATTTGTGGTCACAGTCCTAGTCCTGCTTTTTGTTCTCTGATCACGTCCTTGAAAAAGATGGAGAATTGTTGTCCACCTCCTAGAGACTCTTAGACTCTATTAAAGTGTTATCCAGGCAGGCATGTGGTACTCATACGTCCTCCATTCGACTCCAACAGGGTGGAGTTTAGGTTTTTTTAAATAAAAAAGTCTTGTTTTCTTTAATGTTTTGAATGAGATCATACAGCTTGAATGCTTGCATCTATTGGACTAAATGCTTTGATAACACTTCCACTTCCTGCTTTTTAAAGAAAGTTTTCTTGGGGATTTTAAACAGGGATTTGTCCAAGGAGGGGGGAAAACCTTGCTTGGCCCTGGATGCCCCACAGGAGAACATTTGCAGTGGAAGCCAAGAAAAATATGATATTTATTAGATTTCTTACCCACCCTTCACCATAAGGTTCCAGGGTGGGTTACAATATTATTATTTTTATTAAAAAAAACCACACACTGTAAAATAGACAATGTTCTATGAAAATAAACATATATCTCTATATAGACAAAGGTTTATTTATGAGGCAATAAACAATATGCTTGCACTTCACAAGTGGAATTTCTGCAACAGATAGACTGTCTTTTGGGAGAACCTAATTGCAATGAAAGTATGAAAACAGTACATTTTTTATTACAGCCAGCCTGATATTTTTGGTCAAACTAATAGCGAAATGGAAAGAAAACCCATCTCCAAACTGTGACTGAGCAGGAGAATTTTCTAAGAATTTCAGGGACTGAAGTGGGGGATTGGCTTACTTCACAGACAAGGTGGTCAAGGACAGTATTCCCCCTTCTTAAAAGAATAATAAAAATGTGAAAAAGTCTTGCTGGTTGCTGATCACAGCCATTAAGACTCATCAACCTCACTGCCTTCTGGAGTTTGTTCCAGCAATGGTTTTTCTTCCTTTGCCAGTCTGGTCCTTGTGTAGTGGTGTTTCCATGGAGATTCCAGGCCCTCTGAAAGGTACAGTAAGTCAGCCTTTATCCCTGAACATTCCTTAGAAATTTGCTCGCTACTCACAGAACTAGCTGTTCACAGAACCCAGTTGCAGGAATGTGTGTGATGCAAAAGGTCTTGCAAATATGAGAAGAACCTCCAGTAATCGTTACGCATCGTTAAAAACTTGGAACTGTAAGCCTACTATATTGGCAGCCAGGACAAAACACATGTGGCCGAAGGCATAAAAGTTTTTGCCTTCATTCCACAGATTAAGAATGCGAAGATTTGCAGTTGGCGGTTGAAAGTGGAACAAAAGAAACAGGAAAGTCGCTGATTAATGATAAGGAATATTTATTCTATATATTGGAGACTTTAAACTCGAGTTCTCTCTCAGGGGCAATTTCTGAAGAATAGTTACAGTACATCATCCAGATGATATACTATAAGTATTTTTCAGCAGTGACCCCCCAAGGAAGACAGTGTTAGAAATGTGCATAGCAACCAATCTATAGAATCAATATTTTATATGAGAAAGCAGTGATTCTCTCTCCCCTGTTCCTATGTTCCTGCTGCTGTAGAAACAACACTTTTGTTTTGGTTTTTATCCACTCAGCTTAACCAACCTCGGAGGGTTGTTGTGAAGATTAAATATGGGGGGGCCAAGAAAATAATGCAAGATTTCTGCATTGCACAGGGTTGGACTAGATGACCCTCAATGACCCTTCCAATTCTACAATTTTTGGAATCCTTGGAAGAAAGGTGGGATGAAAAATTAAGACGTATAAGTACCGTATTTTTCGCTCTATAAGACGCACCAGACCACAAGTCGCACCTAGTTTTTGGAGGAGGAAAACAAGAAAAAAAATATTCTGAATCTCAGAAGCCAGAATAGCAAGAAGGATCACTGCGCAGTGAAAGCAGCAATCCCTCTTGCTGTTCTGGCTTCTGGGATAGCTGCGCAGCCTGCATTCCCTCCATAAGACACACACACATTTCCCCTTACTTTTTAGGAGGGAAAAAATGAGTCTTATAGAGCAAAAAATACGGTAACCATATTTTTATATTCTGAAACATGATGAGTCTTTAAGAGAACAAAGAGCTGCTAATTGGCAAGTAATATAAATAATTATTTTTTGAAGTCAGTTGCAGTTGACAACCTGGTGCTTTTTAATATATTTGGTTAACCTATTTAATGAAAGGAAGCAAAGAGGCAGGAAATGCTGCTTGCTTAAAATTTGATTCTAGTGCTCCCTCCTGTGGCAAGGGGAATGCATGTGCTGTACTCTTAAAATAGATATGTGCAAAGCATAATTGGTGCAACAGTCAAAGCTGCTGCCAGTCACTTCACATAGAAGAAATTGGCAAATATTGTTTTCATTCTCAAGCTTACACAGTGATGATGGTATAAATCTCCAAAATAAGGAGCTTAATTGTTAGTTATATGTGTACTATAGCAAAAACTGGGTTCATCAATCCTGAGCATGTAGCCAACGGAGAATGCAGATATTTGCATTGCGCTGAGCGTCTTGCTCTGCATGGAAAACAATGTCATCAATACACAATGGATCGCTCAGTACTAAGAGACTTTTGCTAATATTTGGGGGTTCAGGAAGGTAGACAGTCCGTGCAGCACACACAGCTGTATCTTCTGACAGAGGAGAACAAATAGGGGGCTCAGGAAGAGTGGTTGGATGGCTGCTGCTGCCGCCCCATAAACACCTGTCATTTGAGGCGATTGCCTCACTATGCCTAATGTTATGGCTGGCCCTGCGTGGAAATTTAGGGAGAAAAATACAGTGGTACCTCGGGTTAAGTACTTAATTCGTTCCAGAGGTCCGTTCTTAACCTGAAACTTTTCTTAACCTGAAGCACCACTTTAGCTAATGGGGCCTCCGGCTGCTGCTGCGCCGCCAGAGCACGATTTCTGTTCTCATCCTGAAGCAAAGTTTTTAACCCGAGGTAATATTTCTGGGTTAGCTGAGTCTGTACCCTGAAGCGTATGGAACCTGAAGCGTATGGAACCCAAGGTACCACTGTATTTAAGATAGAGAAATCATTTATCTCCTTGGTTTTGAATAAGTTTGTCTGTTTGTTTCAGTTGTTAAAGCAAATTCCTGTCACGGATGGTGACCAGTTAACATTCCAGACTTACTGTAATGCTTTGTCCTGGCTATCTAAAAGCAGCTTGGAGACCAAAGTAAAAGGTAAGACATAATTCCAAGATTTATATTAGTCCTCTCTGTTTATTCAATTGCTCTTAAGCACAACATTCCGTTAGTTTCAGTGTTAAATCTTGCAGTAGACACTATCTGCTGACACATTCGACAGAGGCCTCGCACGGCACAGTATTATCCTTGTAGAGTATGCTGGCATCTGATCTTGAGCTCTTATTTGCTGTCACAACAAATGTTAAGATACTGTCCCTAGCTGGGTAAGATAACAGCTGGAATATACTTAAGAAGCAGATATGCCTTTAGACTTTTTCCTTTCCGTCTTACCGCTGTTAAACATATAATAAGGTTAGGCTACTGAGAGATCCATTCATGTCATATCTAAGGAGGGAGGAGAAATCCATTTCAATTCACATTTTAAGGGGAAACTGCCATATTCACACTTTCTGAAACAGTGCATGAACCAAAATGGAGCCATCCTTTGAACTTTGCATCTCTCTGAATTTTGTACACAAACTAATGTGCACAAATATGCATTTACCAGGTGAAAGTTTGCATAAAAATGCAGAAATAGATGAAAATAACACAAAATGCATTACGTTATGCACTTTGCAAAAAAATGTATATTAGGCAGAACTACATCAAACCTGTGTACATAAGGAAAAAAATTCACCCTAAAATGCTGGTGAATTTTCAAGAGTTTTAAAAACAAATCACAATTAAATGTGGAAATATGGAGAACTGAACAAGACTGGGAAAATAAGAAACTGAGAGAAGCTTAAATTGACAGATTTATCCAACAGTCATTATGATGAATCTATATGATACCCAATCAAGGGTTAATGTTCTTGAGGAAATAATAACTGAGGAAATGATTAAGACTGATATTTCACTCACAAAACTAGTTTTTTAAAAAATAAAAGCCACCTATTGTATTCTCTGCATTCATTAGGAATGTAGTTGTAGAACATGCTATTAATGCATAAACCTCTGTCTGATGTGTGTTATCTCACAAGTCCTTACTGTTATCAGAACACCAGTAAAGAAGGTTGAAAAAAATCTAAACATTTCAAGAGATTCATCTTGAAGCGTCTTCCAGAATTGTGGCTTTAGTCATGAGACCATCACAACTCAAATAAATGTGTTTGTCATCCATCAAAGGCTGCTACCTTTGATGGCTATGGTCCATCTCTACAAGAAGCAGGAAGTCTCAGTTGCTGTTGTGCTCAGATCCTTCTTACTGGCTTCCTATAGACATCTAGCTGGCTACTGTGAGAGCTGGATGCTAGACTTGATGGGCCATTGGCCTGATCCAGTAGGCTCTTCTTATGTTCTAAGTACTTAAAGAATCTTCTACAGGGTTATCTTCTAGCCCAAACAAAAAAAGCCAGATCAGAGACCATGCAGAATAGACCAAGCAAGCACTATATTATGACAAAAAAATAAATGAATGAATTGAATACACAGCAAGGCAGAGCCTTGGAAGAAAGAGCAAAGGAAAAAGACCTATCTATTCAACAATGAAGATTTGTATAGGTGGTTGCACCCATATTGGTTGTAGCCCAATTCCTGCCTCCTTGTGGACAAGTTTATGGCCTGGGACATCAAATCAGCACATGCCCTGTGCTGCAAATGAGAATGAATGTATGACTATTTCAGTACTGCAGTCTGCAACCTATTGGCAGACTAAGAGTCTGAGTAAGATATGGGCTTTGCGTTTGTAAATCAGCCGAACTCCGGTCAAGTCCAGGGAGGTTTGCTTGCTTGTGTGGGATGATTATACAGAAGCAGTCGTGTGTGGTAGTTTTGTCGTGTTGTCGGGGGATATTCTTCTATCCAGTATTTTGTTCTCCAGGGATCACTATCAATTTTCTCTGTAGTTTAGTATTCATGAAAAGTTGTGTCTTGTGTCTCTTGGAATGGAAAATGCCATTTACTTTTTGATGGCATCTACAGGTTTTCAGACACAGGTCCCATTTATTTCAATGGGACTTCCTTCCAGATGAGTGAGTAGAGATTGAAGCCACAGGATTTTCTAGTTTACTTGCTTTTTGCATACTAATTCATTACTGGCTTGTAGTTCAGGGTTTACTCACTTTCTCATGTGTATTGCATTAGGTTGTTTTAGTCCATTCTGCTGTAGATTTAGATCAGGACTTTTATCAGAATGATTTTATACATCAACTCTCTTTCCTTGGCATGGGGCTGGATCCTAAAATGGTAATCTTAGTTCACGGAATTATCATCCTCTCTTCTCCCCTGCTGCCCTGTAAGGTGACTATATGTTCTACTTTACAGAGGTCCTCTTCAAGCTCCAGGGAGGGTCTCCTCCTGTAGTTGGTTAATAACAAATTCTATTGGATTAGCCTTCTTGGGAAATCCAAGAAACAGGTTGAATAACATTATACTCAGGCATCACATTGCTGTAGGTATAAATCTGTTGCCCACGTTCAGCTGCTCTGCATTCAAAATGAAATTATTGATTCATTAGCCAGGCTTGGAAGGAGTGAAGAAGTGCTGAAAGGTTTTGCTTTTGAAATACCTGATGGGATTAGCTGTCTCAATTGAAAAACCCAGGAATACCAGTTTTGAAGTGCAGAGTTCATTTGATTAATTAAAGCAATTACAGCACACAGTGCATTTCCTGCAGATTAATAGCCAGATGGGGGAAACTGATATTCTGGAATTTTGCTTTGTTTTGGGCTATTACCTCCAGCTGGCTGCTGGACAATCCTTTGCTGGAACGACTATTATTGCTATTAAATCATTTTGTTTAAAAACAACCAAACAGGAATAACTGCTCCTTTCTTCTCAAAACCCCAGCCCCAGGCACACACCCAATGCTTTACAGAAATGATATAGCTCTAGGGGCTTGGCCTTCTCTGTGAAACAAAAGACTGTAATCCAGTTCTTATCTCACAGCATTTTCTAAAATTATTTCGCCTACAGTCATGGGAGAAAGGAGCTTTGATTAAAAAATATGGACATGAATTTCTTGAGAGTAACTTCAGTTGTGTGATTTCTGTAGGTTATGACATGTAAAGCCCTAAGTGGCTTAGAACCGGGATATCTGAAGGATCATGTCTTTCATTATAAGCCTAGCCATCAAAATTCATTTGAGAGCCAGTGTGGTCCAATGACTACTTAGTGTGTTGGACTAGATGCTGGAAGACCAGATCCACCTAACCTACCTTACAGAGTAGTTGTGAGTAGAAATGGGTGGCACTGTCGTTTTTTTTTTAAAAAAAAGATTCAACAGATATACATCTTAGAAAAAGAGGAAAAACAAACAAACAAAACACACAGACGTTATGGACATGGTAGGTATATGAGAGAAAAATAGCATAAATATAGATTTTACAGTACTCAGTATATAAATACCGTATTTTTCGCTCCATAAGACTGACATAAGACGCACCTAGTTTTTAGAGGAGGAAAGGGGGAAAGCCCCATTTTTGGGGGGGGTCAGCTCACAGTTGTGCAGCTTCTTTTGCAAAGGGGAAAAGCCATGGTTTTTTGCGGATCAGCTCAAAGCTGTTGAGCTTACTTTGCAAATGGAAAAAATCCTGTTTTTATGGGGTTCAACTCACAGTTCTGCAGCTTCTTTAGGAAAGGAAAGGGAGCCATTTCTACAATTTCCAGACTGATAATCTAATCAGCCAGTCACATGTCGCTGGGGAAAGAAACAGCCTCCATCTGCAAAACATTCAGCAATGGAGGCCTGGGCAAGGGGGCGGGGCCGGAAACGGAGCCAGCGACCGACCACACATTTGCTCCATAAGACGCAAGGCCATTTCCCCTTACTTTTTAGGTGGGAAAAAGTGCATCATGTGGAGCAAAAAATATGGTAATTTGTGGGCATCCATCTGTCTGGGGAGACAGTGGAGGAGTGTGCCTTTCAGGGTGAGTTCAAGCTGTTGGACAGTTGCAGCGCCTGCTGTGGCTGTAGAGACTGATGTGGGAGAGATGTTTTGTTGCAGCTGGGGCAGATGAAGGTATCCAGTTGTGCTGCTGCAGATGCATCACGGCGTTCCTTCTCTCTGCTCTCCTCCCAGCGGTCCTTTCTGCTCTGGCCACTACTTTGTTTACACAACTTTACTGCCTGTCTCCAGGCACTGTGGTCATCTGCAAGGGATTCCCACATGGCAGGGTTGATGTTGTCAGCAATGCCACTGGGACTAGATGACCCTCGGGGTCCTTTCCAACTCTATGACTCAATGAGATGAGACATTCTAGGCAGACAGAAACAATCAAGGAGCAAAGCAGGGCCAACCAGGAGTGTGGCCTGGGAAGAGTCATGAGTGGCAGATACAAAGGGCATTTGACTCCTGAGCCTGAGTTTCCCCACTCCTGCCCAAGTAAATATGCCTAGTACAGTGGTACCTCGGGTTACAGACGCTTCAGGTTACAGACTCTGCTAACCCAGAAATAGTTGTTGTTGTTGTTGTTGTTGTTTAGTCGTGTCCAACTCTTTGTGATCCCATGGACCAGAGCACGCCAGGCACTTCTGTCTTCCACTGCCTTCCGCAGTTTGGTCAAACTCATGCTGGTAGCTTCGAGAACACTGTCCAACCATCTCGTCCTCTGCCGTCCCCTTCTCCTTGTGCCCTCAATATTTCCCAACATCAGGGTCTTTTCCAGGGAGTCTTTTCTTCTCGTGAGGTGGCCAAAGTATTGGAGCCTCCAGCTTCAGGATCTGTCCTTCCAGAAATAGTATCTCGGGTTAAGAACTTTGCTTCAGGATGAGAACAGAAATCACATGGCAGTGTTGCAGCGGCAGCGGGAGGCCCCATTAGCTAACGTGGTACCTCAGGTTAAGAACAGTTTCAGGTTAATAATGGACCTCCAGAACGAATTAAGTTCTTAACCTGAGGTACCACTATACTAGTTCCTCCTATACCATATATTCACTCAATTTTGGTGCATTTCTCCTCATATATCAACATATAATAAGAAGACACCTGGATCTTCCTAGCTAGGTCAGCGTCAAAGACTTATGAGTGGTTCACTTCATTCTAGAACATGTCCGTAGGGCTTTAAGCTTTCATGTACTGAAGCAGTGAGTCTGAAGATATTAAATGATATATTAAAGACCTCACATCACCATCATTGACAGGAAAACATATTAATGAAGGAATGGTAGGGACTAGAATTCAGGATTTCTACTTCTTTCTTTTTAGCAAGGGTCGTTGCTGTGCGGCTTGCATGCTTTAGGGACCCATGACTGCGTTTGAAGCTGTTTGCTGCAGCTATTGATCCACACATGGGTGATAGATCAGACTAGGATGTTCTTAGTTATCAAATTGTTAACAGCCGCACTAGATGCTTGATGGGGAAATGTTAAGGAGTGTGGCGTTTGCCTCCTAGGTGGGTCATAAGGAAAGGGTTAAATGAGTGTGAAGTGATTGGCCAGAGAGAAACTGATAGGAGGAGTTAGAGTTAGAGTTGGAGTTGTGTGGAAGTTAGTTGAGAGTTGGGAGTTGGAGAAGGAAGAGGGAGGTTAAGTCTGTGGGTTGGTCGAGTTGTGTTGTGAGAGAGTGAGAGGAACTGTTAGGTGGAGTCAGATAGATAGTTGGGATAATCGGTTTGAAGTTGTTAGGAACATATAGGTCAGTAAATAAACTAAGATGAAGAAACTGCCAAGAAAAATTAACTGAAACCATAAACTTGTTCATGCCTATAAAATAAACTTGTTAATGTTAACAACTGCCTAAGACTCCGTGTGTACCTGAGAGAAGCGGGTTGGTGGCAGCAAACAAAGCAATCACAGTGGTGGCACACAGATCAATAGACCGTCAAACGTCTGGGGACCCTGTGTGATCACCACAAGGAGCAGTGAGGATCCACCTCAGTAATAACACTTTTGTAGTTTTGGGATGCTAGATTCTGTGATTGTTTTCTTTTCTCTTGGAATAAGATGAAGCTTGCTTGGATTCTTGCAAATCTGTGACAATGAAACAGCAACAAAAACAGATAGCTACAGAGCCCCCCTAGGGCCATGACAGATACTAATGCATCTTTTCTGCAGGCTGAAGAATTATTCAGATGTGTAGCTAGCAGCTGACGTCCGAATAAAAATTCATCAGCCCGACTGTACTAACTCTGGTCACAGAATAATAGCATCAAAAATAGATTCATCAGTCACTGTTAGGCATTGCTTGATTCTATAGGGTGGCTATTTGAGAATCCCTGATAAGGTTTGTTGGCGAGGCCCGGCATTTCTGAGTAGGGCAGAGCATCAGTCCGCAGTATTTGCGACACAGCCTGGTATCTCTGACCAGCGTTGAAATGTGGGCTTGCATCATGAGACTTAAACCATGAAATTGACTCTTATATTCCAAATTAATAGGAATTTTGGATTACTGCCAGGCTTGCAAGGAGATTCACACTTCAGTAATCTAGATATCCTCTGTTGAAGGCTGTTTTTCAATGAAGAAAACTGAGCTGTGGGGGAGAGAAATAAAAAAGAGAAGCTTGGGAGTATGGCAACATTTTAGCAATGCTGGAAGATTCAGGCAGCTGAATAAAGCAATTAATAGAAAGGATAGAATACTCACAAGTAAACAGAGAGCTGATCACACTGCATTTTAATTTCTCTAAGTTTCCATTGAAATCAATGGAGCTTACTTACATCATGGCTCACTTGGCCCAATGATCTCAATGGGAATGAAGTACAGTTTCCTTAGTTTGGATCCACCATTGTGTGTTAACTTGCAAACCATTTTAAAATAAAATTTAAAAAAATGAATGCCTTTCTATCATGCTAGGGCCTTTGTTTCCCCAGCCACTCTGGGCCGCTTTCAACAGAACATTAAAAACAGAATAAAACTTCAAACATTAAAAACTTCCCTAAACAGGGCTGCCTTCAGATATCTTCTAAAAGTTGGATGGTTGTTTATTTCCTTGACATCTGATGGGAGGGTGTTCCACAGGGTGGGTGCTACCACCGAAAAGGCCCTCTGCCTGGTTCTCTGTAACCTCACTTCTCGCAGTGAGGGAACTGCCAGAAGTCCCTCAGTGCTGGACCTCAGTGTCCAGGCTGAATGATGGGGCTGGAGACGCTCCTTCCGGTACAGTATACTGGACCAAGGCCATTTAGGGCTTTAAAGATCAGCTTGTGCCCTTGCCAACATCAGCAATGCCATGCCTAGGGTGTGTTTTTTTCAGCCAGAACTCAGTTCTGGCACCTTTCAGGTGGGTGCCATTGCCATTCTAAGAGAATAAAGGAGGTGTTCATTGTGAGTTCTGGCACCTCCTTTTCTAGTAAAATAGCACTGGTCATGCCCACAGAAAAAGTGTCAGGTTTGAGCTCAAGAGTAATCATACACAGTTCTTGTATCTTTTGAGATCCTGCCCCTTAGCTCAATTATCTTGCTCCAACATGGGAAACTTGAGAGAACCCCCTTTGCAGATTGGCTTTGCTTAAGAACAAATCAATGGTTCTTAGAAACATCAGTTATTGACAGGATTTTGGGGCACATCTGGCTTTTAAACCAGCCAATATCTTTTTGTTTGTTTTTACCACATGAGTGGTAAGCCCTTTTGTTCAAATCAATAAATTACCGTCATTCCACTCTAATTCCCGTGATGCATGCAAACAATGCAATTATCCCAAATGAAGAGGATACAGCATCTGTGATTTCATCGAACTCATAAAAATGATAATGACGCACATCTAAAGATTTATTGATTTCCCAAGTGCATGCTTTTCTTTTTTCCTTAACAAAATTGGTGGGGCAGAGGGTGCTCCGGATTGTAAGTGTCATTGGTACACAGGAGTTTAGCTTTATAAAAGTGGCATTCTGATATTGTCACCAGAGAACAATATTGTGAATGCTAAGCTTGTATTTGCGTTGAGGCCAAAGTCAATTCTTCTTGAACCCTTTTTGGCTAAATCTCCTTTCTTCTGTCTGTGTAGTATTGGATAAATATACTTGAGAGAAGATTGTTTTCCTTGCTTCCTCAGACCAAAGTCCCATTAAATCCATGATTGAAGCCACTACCACAGAGGAGGGAGGAGATGCAGAGAGTGGCTGTGGGCTAGACCCAGGCAAGGTGAAGTGACCACCTTGGGCAGCAGGATCCATATGGGCAGTGGATCCAGTCTCCAAGAAATTATTCACCCACTGCCACTGCTGCACCTCCTTGTCCTGTTCCCAAAGCTGTGTCTACAGTGGCCTCTTGGTGAATAGGCAACTCCTGCTAAAACTGGTTACTTGCAAGAGAGAAGTAGTTTCTGTGGCGGTGCTGTTTGGTTTCTTCAGATTCCATAGTGTGATGTGGAAAGGTCTTCAGAACCTGACTGTTGATGCCAGGTTACTGGTTAACATCATTGTGCCCCATCTATGACTTCCTGCCCCATCTAAAACATGGGTAGGCAAACTAAGGCCCAGAGGCCGGATCTGGCCCAATCTCCTTCTAAATCCAGCCCGCGGATGGTCCAGGAATCAGCATGTTTTACAGGAGTAGAATGTGTCCTTTTATTTAAAATGCATCTGTCAGTTATTTGTGGGGCCTGCCTGGTGTTTTTACATGAGTAGAATGTGTCCTTTTATTTAAAATGCATCTCTGGGTTATTTGTGGGGCATAGGAATTCGTTCATTTCCTCCCACCCCAAAATATAGTCCGCCCCCCACCTCAAGGTCTGAGGGACAGTGGACCAGCCCCCTGCTGAAAAAGTTCTCTGACCCCTGGTCTAAAATGTTCGGAGATCTAGACGGACTTTTTACCCAAGATTGCAGTCCTGTACCCACAATATTTTAGCCTCCACTACTGCCTAGCAACTTGCTAGATGGAATCCATAGCACAAAATCATCCTGTTCACTCTGTGATCCATGACTGGTTGGAATTCCCCATGTGAATAATCTTGAAAGGTGGAAGTATCAGTAATTTTGGGGAGAGGGGGATGACGACGACAGGATTTTTTACTTCTCCAAAATGGCCAGTAATTCTAACTAATAATAAAAACGGGGAAAATATTTGGAGCAGATTTAGAAAATAACCTCCAGTTTGTTTTTCATCTCCCTTGCTTAGGACTATACCAAACATTATTCTCTGGCATAGTTGGCAAGGAACAACTCAGGCATTTGCTGCATGACTTACATCCTATGCAAAGTTGCAGCGCCATTGATGAACTTTCTGCTACTTTCCTCAAGGAAGTGGATAAAGACAACCAAGGTAGTTTGCTGACTTTTTGAGAATATTGATTGCAGAAATGTGCATTCCAGAGTCCATTATGTATAGGATACCATGTTAACAGGAAACTTAAATTGACTGAAAGAAGATCAAAAACAATGTATTTTTTTCATAAAGGATGTGACACAGCACCATCTTGTGGATTCTTTGTTATGTGGCAAACAGAAATGAGGGGGAGTTTGCAAAGAGATGTGGTTTCCAGGATTATTTTGCTTTTGCATGACTCAACTGAAGTCAAGCTGTTCCTGTTAATTCCAATGAGACAATTAAGAATGTACTCACTTTCTCCCAACTGAAACCAATGGGGCTTAAAAGTGCTTAACTATGGCTAGATCGTGTTTATTATTTTAAAACCAAAGCACCATATACCGTCACTGCTGCTTCTTTACATACATAAATTTGCAGTAAGTATTTATGTATGTAATAGTAATAATAATAATAATAATAATAATAATAATAATAATAATAATTTTTTATTTATATCCCGCCCTGCCCAGCTGAAGCCGGGCTAACAACAATAAAATAATACAACATTCTAAAATCATTTCATTATAAAATTAATTCAAATCAAATTGATGGCAACCATTGGGCTAGAGTTCTGTGAAGATTATGTAAATACATAAATTACTCTGTGATCCAGAGGCTATTTTCTATGCAGAACCTCAATATGCAAACAGCTTTCCTGCATCCACGACTTCCCTATTCATGACAATTCCAAATAAAAATATTTACCCGTCCTCATTGCACTCATGTGCAGCTATTGCCCCTGACAATTCAGTGAATAGGGAGTCCTGCTCTTCCTAGGAGTCGTTTCTCCAGCTCTGAATATCTGAAGAGCTTTGGATCAGAGCACTTCTTTTGAAAACCAACCTTCCCTAGTAGTAGAATATCCATTATGCCTTGGGAACTTCCAGACTGGGCTACAGTAACGTGCTCTGTGTGGGGCTGCCACTAACGGATATTTAGTAACTTCAGTTACAGGATAGCACCCATTGTCTTGCAGATAAATAGCATTAATGTAAGAAGAACATTTTCTCCTTAGGGTATATCTCTGAAGATATGTTTGTTGCCTGGGTTCTATCCTTTTCAGAAGAAATAGTCAAATCTACGCTAGATTTTCCAATAATACCTCCAAATCTGACACAAATTGAGCATCCTACTTCTTATCTGAGTGTAAGTAGACATTATGATTTATTTTTAAGATTTGCCTTTTTTTAAAAAAAAGTTGTCACTTTTCACTAATAATAATTTGTGGGAGAAAAGAAAGTGGTTACCAATCTATATTAAAGAATATGCACATGGCATATTATACGTAACACGTAACAAGATTATATCTGTTGGACTTTTAATATCTCTGCATCCAACCAGCAATATGAGTACAGTCAACATCTCTTTCCAGAATTCTAATAAGTCCACATATTTGCAAAGCTCGTATCTGTTCAATACAGAAAACCGCAAAATGCCAAGGCTTAGCAGCCTTCTGAATGGCATTCTTATTGGTCTGGCTTTTGAAAGATCAAATTAATTCAGAAGGATGTGCGTGAGAGAGAGTACAATTCTAAATTGGATGCTTTTGATCATTGTCAATTTTGTATAAATTCTAAATCGTCTGCTTTTGATTTGTGTATCTATTTGAAGTACACTTAATCTGACCCGAGGGCTTGAGATGCAGTAGTCTAGAAATGGCAAGTAGGGATGTTTGCATGGAGAGCATATGGAACATGTCTCAAGTCTTGTGGAAATCCCAGTACTATGTCCATGTAGACTCTTGACCTGTTCCTATGGAATCATAGCTTTTAAAGAGAACTCAGCGGAACATTCTGAAATAGCATTTTGGATACCATCTTGTCTTGTGATCCAAAGCGAGATGCTGCCAACCGTTTTGCCAAAAGCAGCCAACAGTTACTTGCATGAAGGGACAAAGTGCTTAGAAAGCTGCAGTGGGCCCACACATCTGGACCTGCCCAGACACACACCTGTTTCTCCCTTTGTCCCCGTCATCTACGGTGTGAGGTTCCAGGAGCTGAGGAAGCCAGTAACTACATGCAGAGGCACCCATGCAATTTCATGAATGATATGAATGGGAGGAGCTGCACATGGTTTGGGCAGGGTCAGAAGCACAGCCCTATTACAGTGGTACCTCAGGTTACAAACACTTTGGGTTACAAACACTTTGGGTTACAGACTCCGCTAACCCAGAAGTAGTACTTCAGGCAGGGCTGTCTTAAGCATATGCGGCGCCAGGGTGCAAAGATCTTCCCGGTGCCCCCCCCAGCCCAGCGCAACAAACCAGCCTGAAGCGTCAGTATCGACGACTGAGCAAAGCTGGGAGCCTCATGGTGTGAGCAGCATTCGCTGGGTGGGCCTCTCCATGGCCCTACGCCAATCCCAGGCACGCAGGAGGGCGGAGCCGGCCGGCTGGCCAACCACCTCAGCACTTCACTGACTCGCTTGCCCCTGAACTCGTGGTGCAGAGCCGCCAGCAGCAGAAGGGTCTGCTGCGGTGCTCCGATGGGGAGGCTCTTTCCCAGACTCCAACTCTCGAGCCCCAGACTCTCGGCCTGGCACCCCTGAGAGACCAGCACCCGAGTGCTCCGCACTCCTGGCGCCAATGGTTAAGACGGCCCTCACCTCAGGTTAAGAACTTTACCTCAGGATGAGAACAGAAATCGCGCACTGGTGGTGCGGCAGCAGCGGGAGGCCCCCTTAGCTTAAGTGGTACCTCAGGTTAAGAACGTTTTCAGGTTAAGAACAGACCTCCAGAACGAATTAAGTATGTAACCAGAGGTACCACTGTACATCATTCTACATGCTCTGTTTTTTCCACAGAGTGTGAAGGGAGCAAAAGAGAAATATACAAGGCTGTTAGATGCAAACCTGATAACTCCCCAGAAGTTTTAATAATATGGCTACTGTTTAGTTTAATGGGTTTCCGCTTAGCAAGGTCATTTAAAATATAACTTTATGTTGTTAACCAATCAGAATAAAGTTCTAACCAGAAGCTGAGTCCATCGAAGAACATGTGGCTCACCCATGGAATGCAGTTCTCTAATAATCCACTTTGTTTTCGCAGTTCACTGCAGATATTCAGGATAAAGAAGGACTGAGTGACCTGCAACTTGTTAAGGTGGCCACAGAGATAGCCACAAGAAAAAGAAACTGGAGGCATCTTGCTAGTAAGCTTGGCATTACAGAGAAGGACAACTTCCATTTGGGGAATGAGCATGGGAAAACAAAGGACCAAGTAAGTCACATTTGGTGTATGGTGTGGATGGGTGTGGAATCTTTTGCAAGTGTCAAAACCAAATTGAGTCAGGAGTTGGGGGACATGCAGTAATTATAATAAAAATGCAACAGCCATATTGAAAGACAAAGAGTGGCATACCTGTTAGGTCGGTGGAGAAAGCCATGTATTGAAGTGATAAGGAAGTTGCCTGTTCCAGTGGCAGGATACTGGGGCACTAAGCATAATCCAGAGGGGCCTAGCTGGCAGCAATACAGCCCATGTTGTTTCAAGAGAGTGTGGCATTCAGATGAGGTCTTCTAGAAGAGATGGAGAACCTGTGGCCCTCCAGATATTCTTAGACCCTATCAGCCCAAACCAGCATTGTCAGGGACAACAAGAGTTGGAGAGCAGTAACATCTGGAGGACCATGGGTTCCACATCTCTACCTCCTGTCCTGATGGAGGAGTTGATGACTTCTGAAGCTGTACCCCCCTTAACAGAGAGTGGAGTGGACTCAAAGGGGCCTTGTGCTAGCTTGGAACTGTGTGCATCTCTGACATTCAGCATCCTCCTTGTGTGCCTCTTGGTATTTCCAGTGCGGGATTACATGAGGGAGCTTGGATGTTTGGGGAGCTAACTCATGAGGAGGGGCTCATGCTGCATGCTTAGTTGTCAGAGTCTCCAACCACAGGGCTGAAGTCCTTTCCTAAGTCATCTTCCCTAGAAGAGCAGAACAGCTGGCTTGCCTTTGCATGGTTACTGTGACAAGATTGGAAGCAACTGGGATTTCCAGTCCATAGCTCTGGTCTTATGAACTTCCTACAGGAAGCTCACAAGGAGGATCTGAGCACAGAATCTTCCAAATGTTTCTGTGAAAGACTGCTTGGTTTTGTAATGCAATGAACATAGAGAAACTGCCTCGGACAGAGTCAGCCCATTGGTCCACCTAACTCAGTACAGTTGTAGGAAACCTGGGCCTTCCAGACATAGCTGAACTGCAACTCCCATCATCCCTTGCCATTGGGCATGGACTACCAGATACTAGGACTGCTCCTAGGGCTGATGGGAGTTGTAGTCCAGCAACAGCTGGCAGGCCAAAGGGTCTGAACCTAATCTATACTAGCTGGTGGAGGTTCTGCAGGGTTTCCAACAGGAGATATTCTCAACTCTGCTGGGAGATGCCAAGGATTAAAATTAGGGGCTTCTGCATACAAAGAAAGTGCCACTGAGCAGCAAGGCTCCCTCACAGGAAGTGCCCCTCACTTTCTCACAAACCAGCAGGCTTGAGGCTAATGAAGTGAAATGAACAGATACAGTACTGATATATGAGATGGTATATGGTAGTTATATGGTAAAACCAACCATATGACTGTCATAAGATTTTACTGCTTTTCTATAGCTGTTGAGAAAGGTTCAGGGTAATATTTTGCTCCCCTCTTGTTTTTATGTGCAGATCCTGAACATGTTACTGAGCTGGCACCGAGCATGTCAAGGAGCTCCTCTTCCCATACTTCAAGCAGCCCTGAGAGAAAGTGGCAATGTAGACATTTGTAATGAAGTGTTCCACTTGAGCTTTTAATATATATATATTTGCTAGGAGAGGATAGTTGTTCTAAGACAGGGTGGGTTAGCTTTCCCAGCCTAAGGGCGATGTTCTCTTTTGTGCAATGCTATTGTTATATATTTGTGTAAACCCCTCCTTTTCCCCTGATGTGGACTCAAGACAGCTTACCGTAGTGCAGTGGTTTTCAACCAGTGTGCCGTGGCACCCTGGGGTACCTTGAATGGTGGTCAAGGGTGCCATGGGCAACACTGGCTTCTGTCCCTCTTTTTTCCCTTCCTTCCCTCCCTCCTCTGATGCCCTCTCGTGTCTCTGCCGCCCAAAGAGCTGCACAGCTGTTTGTTGCAGCAGCCTTGGCTACAAGCTCTGCAGGCGAATGGTGTCTCTGGGGCTGGCCAGGGGTGCTGGTTGCCAGGAGCTGAGGAGTAGGCAAGCAAGCAGGCAATGGAGCCCAGCCAGCCAGCCCACCAGCCCTTGCTGTTTGGAATGGACGGACAAATCCTAGGCCCTTATGGGGCAGTTTGAGGAGGCACCTCTCTTTGGGGCAGGGAGGGCAGCTCAGAGACCAGGGGTGGCAGCAGCACGACTCCCAAGGAGAGGGGAGAGGAGAGGAGGCTGAAGGAACACTGCACAAGGAAAGGTGTTTGAAAAAGGGTAAGAGGCTGCCAGCTCTGCAAGCAAGGGGGCCCCTGAGCCCCACAGGGGTGCCGCAGAAAGAATGCAGTTCGTCAAGGGAGTGTCTCCACTCCCATCGTTCTACCTGGACACTGAGGTCCAGCTCCGAGGGCCTTCTGGCAGTTCCCTCACTGCGAGAAGCCAAGTTACAGGGAACCAGGCAGAGGGCCTTCTTGGTAGTGGAGCCCGCCTGTGGAATACCCTCCCATCAGATGTCAAGGAAATAAACAACTATCTGACTTTTAGAAGACATCTGAAGGCAGCCCTGTTTAGAGAAGCTTTTAATGTTTGGTGCATTACTGTATTTTAATATTGTTTTGGAAGCCGCCCAGTGGCTGGGGAAACCTAGCCAGATGGGTGGGGTATAAATAAATTATTATTATTATTATTATTATTATTATTATTATTAAGTCATGGACTCAAAAAGGTTGAAAACCTCTGCCGTAGTGGGGGGATGACAAGGGGCAAAAGTAGGTGGAGCAATGGATGTGACTCATACTTCTGTAGAGTTCCATTCTAGAAAGGCAAAAGTCAGAGTTGTCTACACATACCACTTTCCATCCTCAATTTCACCATTTGGCCATCTAGCCCTGAGTCAGGCCATTTGGCCATCCAGCCCAGTGTCGTCCATACTGGAAATGTCAGGGATTGACCTCCTGCATGCAAAGTGGATACTCTGCCCTGAAGCTCCTGCTTCTTTCCAAGAGTCAGATGGAGAGATGCCAAGGGTCAATCCAGCCCACAGGCCTTGCTTGAGCCATAGGTGGCTGGAACCTTGGCATTTAATGAGTTGCAAAAGGGAAAAAGGCACTGGCAACTTTCGCAGTTGTGTAGTAGATGGAACTTGAGCAGGTGCAGCTTTTCATGCAAGCTATACCTGCTGAAATCATCTCTTTCACTCAACGATTAAAGCTACAGAAGCCTGACCCTCTTTTTCACTTCATCAACCAACATCTTCATTACCCTGGAGTGTGTGTGTCCAAGTACTGCAAATGGCCCCCTGCCACACAAAGGACTGCAGAAAGTTGATGCACGTTGCCATTCAAATGGTATCAGTGCATCGCCTCATGTGATCAATTATGCAGGGCAGGGCTTGCCTCCCTCCCCATATCTGATTCAAGTTGGCACCCCTGGGCATAAGTCTCATTAAACCCATTGAGACATGCATAGAAGCAGGCAGCAGCCACCCAGTTTTCAGACACAAAACCCACCTTTAGTCCAAACATCCATTTGGGGAACATGTGTCAGGAGCCCAGGCTGCCATCTTGATAACACAGCGCACAAGTCGTAATTAGCTTGAAGATTTATTGCAATGCAAACAATTAGCCTTGGTCGTCTAACCAAACGTCTGCGGCATATGAATCAGTTGACCCTTCTGAAGAATGCCTCCTGGTTCTGCAGAATATCCTGAACCTATGACCCTTACATTTCTGGATTTGCTTCCTGTCTAATACCTTTCCAATATGTCGACTCTTTGGGCTCAGATGATTAATTGCCTCCTCTTCCGGTGAAGAAACGCTATTCCTCCTGCTTTGCAAGTCTGCTAGTGCTTCTTGAGCGAGCTGGCTCCTCACCCTCCCACTGTCTGCTAACTCCTTATCAACATTCCATTCTGTGTCAGAGAGGGAGGAGGGCTGCTCCCAGCTGTCTGACTGCTTGCTAACACATGCTGTGTTTCTCTACTTGCGGCAGGTGTGTTCATGACAACATGTATCAAAAGGACAATGCCTTAATGCAAGACATCCAAGGTTTAACTAAGTCCATTGAAATCAGCTCTGTGTGTGGATTGTTGTTACCGTGTGCAAGACTGCAGCCCATCCTGTTTGTGTACACATAGCTCGGGGGCAAAGCACACACTTGGTGTGTCCAATATCCCAGGTTCAGTCCCCAACATCTGCAGATACAGCTGATAAATACACCTGCCCAGGACTCTGGAGAGATGCTACCAGTCACTGTAGCAGACAATAGCAAGGTAGATGGGCCAGCTCCCTGACTATGTATTAGGCAGTTTCCTGTGTTCCTGTGCATTTAGTGTCCCGTGTGCTTAAATAACATTTTAATTGCCTTCTGAAGGACAGAGAGGACCATTATCCCCATGTAACCTGACATCCTGGTACTTCTATTGTTGGATTAAATCAGCACCTCTTACATTTAATTGGCTTTAAGGTAGTACTAAACCACTTTGCTGTCTCCGGAACTATATTACATCATATCACTGGTGAAGCGACAGAGACTGCTGTTTTCCCTGGAAGCTGGTTAATTATGCTATTTTAAGAGTACCATTAAACCCTGCCAGTTTTGAATTCTGAACTTCTTTAAACTTGTGACAGTTTAATTGGCATCTTCTGTGATGAGAGACGGAGCAAAATGGAACCAGGAAAATGCGCCACACAGACATGAAGGGAGGAAAAGTGTCCATAATAAATGCACTTTAATGTCAAGTAAATGTTCAGAAAGGAAGGGGAAGATTACATTTGTTTCAAACAAGTAATTTGCGCCCCAGTAAGGAAAAGCCGTGCCGATGTTTCCATAACGTTGATGGTGTTACTGTTTTGAAAAGCGTTGTGCAAAGTGAAACCAGCAGGGAAGGAAAAACCAGCATATACATAAGGCCCTATTCAGAGAGCCAGCAGGATTGCACACACTCAACATGGGCATATTGTGACATCTCAGACCAGTCCCACACTACTAACATGTTGAGGGAAGGTCTGAAGGGGAGAATCCTGCCAAAAGTACATAGTCCATCTCTCTCTCTCTCTCTCTCTCTCTCTCTCTCTCTCTCCATTTGAATTCTGCATGCTTCCAAGAGAATATTTAGGGAAATAACTTCCCCACCCTCACCTATCCCTATGGCCATAATTTGTTTTAAATTGTTTTTAATATTGAATTTTAAATTATTGTAACCCACCCTGGGACCTGAAGGCAGATAATAAATCGAAATATATTAATAAGAATTTCACCATCCTCTGCAAACAGGTTTTGGTAAGGTTACCAGACATCCCCGTTTCCCGGGGACAGTCCTTTGATTTACAAATCAGTCCCCTGACAAAATCCATCCCTGGAATGGGGAAGTTGAAAAGTGTTCCTGGAATTATTGGGGAAAAAATCTGGTAAGCTTAGGTTTTAGAGAATTCCGCGAGCCCATTTTGGTTGAGTCCTACAGAAAACCAGAAGAAAGGTTGAAGGTTAGAATGTTGAAGGGTGAAATGCCAGCCGAGGTTTGAAAAACCAAATACCAAATGACCTACATTATGCACATGCACAAACTATCTACACAATTCAACTGTTATTTCCCCCTCTTTGTAATTATGCAATTAAGTACGTTCCATTTTCCTGCATCTGTGCTCTGAATGAGCATGCCGTTGTCATTTTTTAGAGATGCTGTTTTCCAAACTTGAAAAAAAGGAGGTTCTTTAGCATTTCATTTGTTTGGGAACAGTAAACAGTCCGGTGTCCTTTCCTTTGCTTGCTCAGCCAATTCTTCTCCCGGGGATCCGAATTTCAATGGTGCTTCTTCTATATCATGAGATGGATCAGTACTAGAGATTGGCTGTGGTACAGGTGGCACCATGATGTTTGGCTTCCTAGTGGGCAATGGGCTATCTGGATAAAACTGATCGTGCTGCTGATCACCGGATGGAGCTCCCGTGCTGGATAAATACTGCTTTAACCAGCTTCCAAAGCATGGAGTCCTCTTGAACCCAAGTGCTGCGCGTTCTCCTTTCCTAACATCTTCACCATCATGAGCTGCACTTCTGATCCCTTGAGGTGGCGGTGGTACATTTTCAGGAACAAACTTCATAGAAGCTGCCCTTTCAGATTCTCTTTTGGACTGATTTTCCCCCACGATCCAAGCAAGGACATTGTGTCCATCACCTCGGATGCTGCTTCCATAACAAGGTGTGTTCCTAGCTGCAGGTAGACCAGTTTCATAGTTGGCTTCAGGCTCATTCTGTTTTCTTAGGTGTGATTTGGAGCACGGTGGACCAGTCTGTAGGCCTGCTATTTCCTCTCCAAATGCATCCAAGTTTTCTCTCTGTGATTTTGTTTCCCCAGTCTTTAGAGAAATAACCCTGTGATTAGACTGTATGCCAGCTGGGTAGGGGGCATCCCTGGCATGCTTTGCATGGTTGCTCTCTGGATATGTCGAGCTTCCTTTTTGCTCCCATGAAGCAAACTGGAAACGAGGAGCACTTTGCAGTGGTGCCAGTAAGTTCTCTCTTGGCACTGGGGAGTCACCTGCACAGCACAGGTGGCTGTCAGTTGTGTGTGAGGTGACAGTTCTGGGTTCTCTTGGGTAATCACCTGGGTATCTCAGTGTGTCAGAATGATGTCTTCTTTCTGCAATATCAATACTGGAGATTGGTGCTCTCCCATGCGTGGCTCCCTCTGTGTCTTCAGCATGTGCTGGGTTTTTCCTGAAGTCTGTGGGGTAGGTATTGAAGTAGGGTGAAGTTTCTTTCGGAGCAGATGGGCCCACCATTTGGGGGACCCAAACATCTCTTTCGGGATACTGTGGTCTGCTTTGGAGGAGAGTGCCGCTTTGTAATGGAGAATGTGGTGCTTGGTTCTCCAGATTCCTTTCTCTGGGTCCGAACGCATTGTTCACGCGATATGGGGTGTTTTCTGTTTGTCTCAAGTGTTCTGCACCATGAACTGGAGAGTGTTCTTCTGGAGACCACCGGTTAATTTCCTCATATGGCAAATTACTTCTTTGGTTGCCTGGATTCTCCATAGAATATTTTGGATATGCATGGTGTTGAGTTGGATTGTATGGAGAGTTTCTGTACTCTCTGTCAAGGTCAAGCACCTGTTTTTCTTGGGTCCATGGGTTTTGCCTGGGATATGGTTCACGCTCCTGCAGAACGTTTCTGTGATAGGTGTTTCTTTGCATCTGATTTGAAGGCAAATCTGGAGAATATGGTGGACTTTCTCTTTGGTTTGCTGGGCTCATTGTGGGTGAATGTTCTCTATCCTCCCATCCTCTGGGATAAAAGGAATGGGTTTGTTGGCCATTGAGCTCCCTTTCAGAGTAAGCAGCATGTCCTGTTCGCTGAAAAGAACCAGATGAATACATCGAGTTATACCTGGGAGGGGCATCTCGGAAGACCTGTGGATCTTCTTGGTTGTTCCACCTCCGGTTTTGTGGAGATTGAAATTGTTCTCTTTCGCGATCTGGATGAATAAAGGGCTTCTCCTTCCACTCATACCGCCGGGCTTCTGTTTCAAATGGAGTTCTGCTTGTGGCTGAGAATGCTTCCTGATGGGAAAATGTGCTTGTTCGGTGCATTCCAGAAGGCTGATGCCGTTCAGTGTATTCTCTTTCATTATAGACATCCTCAACTCGTCCTGCTGTATTAAACTGCGGGTCCAGGGAACGGCCTTCAGATGGGGAAT